CTCTCTCTCTCTCTCTCTCTCTCTCTCTCTCTCTCTCTCTCTCTCTCTCTCTCTCTCACCCACAGTCGGACGCCCAGCTAGGCCGCCGGGCCGTCGCTGTCCTCTCACTCCGTTTCATCACCGGCAACGCAGTAGCAGCGAGAGTGTGTTACCGAGGAATACATTGACGGGAAGGCCGGCCGGGCGGCCTGAAACACGGAAAGCTGTGATGGTGGATTCGGGGCCGCCGGGCCGGACTACATCAATGCGCGGCACTTTTCAAAAAAAGAAAAAAAGGAAAAAAAGTCCCCCTGATGCAATACAATTTTGGAGTCTTCCTCTGGTTCATACTCAAATCGGGGTTGTTTCCAACAGTTTTTTAGACAGTCGCCTGTGGGTGTCTCTACCCGTAGGCAAGTAAGCTCAAGTTGTCAGTAGTTGGAAGTTATGTCAGGTCAAGTTGTCAGCGTCACGTTGTCAGCGTTTTTAGAGGTGTGCAAGTACGTATTAGGTTCTAGAAACCACTCGCCAAAGTCACCGGGCAATGGGAATCAATTGGAATCTCCGAAAACCGATGGAAAAATGAAGTGAAACCATTAAAATGTGTCCCCGTGGAATCAACGGTAATCATCGGTTCACTTAGAACTAACAATAAGAGCGGTTATGGCTTATTTTGTTTCAGGTTTCCATTCATCTTGTAGACCCCTCCAAAAATCCACTTATACCAAAACACCCCTAATTTTTGGGGATTTGTATGTGTACTCCTGCACGACTTGTCAGTTGACGACCTACTTGAGCTTTCACTGATATTCGTGGCACTACCTTGGCACTTCCTTGTCCTTTACCGTCTCTCAGTGGCGGGCAAATGTTCTCGATCGGTTCTTGTCACCCTGTACATGCAGGTGGTGCGGTAGGAGGAGGGGCGCAGGCGGCGGCCGAGTGGGGCAGTCGAGGGTTGGGCCCCACGACCAGCCCCAGTCCGACAGAGCACCCCTCGCAGGTGGGTGAACTGTGCCCGCCCGCTGGTCCAACCCCTCTGTGCGTCGGTCGTTTTACTTGCTTGCCGACGGGATAAGAATCATCCCGAGTCTGCAGGACCTTTTTATGCAAATGGTCTCGTTGTTTGTTTGTTTTTAGTGTGAACAGTGACGCGATCACCATGCCGCCCAAGGACGATCCGGAGACAGCCAAGCTGCGCAAGGAGCTGGAGGACCTCGTCAACAAGATCAAGGTGAGTTGAGCGTCGGCCGCTGAGATTTCTCCACTCCCTACGCCTCTGTGACGTGACATCAAGTGACGTGATGCGAGCCACAGAGAAGCTCGACGCGTCCAAACAACAGAAGCTGTTCGGAGCTGTAACGTTATCGACGCAATGTCATATCCCTGCGAAAACGCGAGTTTCGTTTCGAGACACCTAAAACTGAATATTTATCGCTTAGAAGTCTTCTGTTAATTCTCACAGCGCGTGAACGTGAACTCTCGTGTATACTGTACTCGATTGGCTCTTTGATGATACAGGACTTGTTGTAAACTGCCCCACTCGATAATAAGAAATTTTTCACGACACGAATCTGATCGGATCAGCTTTTGCTGTGGAGGAGACTCAGAAGGCCAGGAGGAATCTCATCCTTTTCATGTTTAGGGCTGGTCCATGTTTAACCTGAGCACAGCTGTTCCTAAATGTAATCGGACTGAAAAATAGTCACAAGGAAAAAGATTTACAAGTTACATAGTTCTTTTGAATGCCGCCGGACAGCACCAGACGGACGGACACCTCTACCCCTTCTAGCGAAACAAAAACGTTTAATTGGTCTTACTGCAAAACTTCACCGACCAGATACTTAAGATTTTCTTTAGAGTTTCCCGAAAGAAAAAGGGCGTCTCATCCGTCCTCAAGTTGACCTGGCTGTCGGCGGCCTACCTGTTGGGGGTAGGCTGCGCCGAGGTGGGGTGGGAGAGAGCCAGGGTGCCGAGGGTAGCGGCAGCCTCGCGCGCCGACGCCCCGCAACTGCCCGGGAGGGGAAGCCCCCGAAGTGTCGCGGCCTGTCCGACATGACCCATATGATGCAGGTTCGCCTGCACCCCTCCCCCCCTCCCCGCCTCCCACTCCCTCCGATGTGATCATCTTTCGGTAGCGGATCTGAATTATCGGATTTACAGTGCGGTTGCATATATACTATCCTATCCGTATGGCCGCAGGAGGAGCAGAAGAAGGTGGCCGACACGACCATGGCGGAGGCCTGCGCGTCGGTCGGCGACGCCCCCAAGGTGCGGCTCGTTACGCGGAAGAACCTTAAGGGCCACATCAACAAGGTCAACTCGGTGCACTACAGCGGTGACAACAGGTTAGCAATATTGAGGGTCTCTCCTCTCCCTCTCCTTCTCTCCCTCCCTTTCTTCACCCCGTCTGTCCCCTCCTCCTCTTCTCTCCCTCCCTCCTCTCCCTACTCTCCTCTCCCTACTCTCCTCTCCCTCTCTGCTCATTGCTCATTGTCGCCCCGACCGCAGGCACGCTGTCTCGGGGTCCCTGGACGGCAAGCTCATCATCTGGGACACGTGGACGGGCAACAAGATCCAGGTCATCCCCCTGCGGTCCTCTTGGGTCATGTCGGTCGCCTTCGCGCCTTCGGGCAACTTCGTGGGTGAGTAGTAGTACTACGCTGCAGTATATTTTGCAGCATGATGACAGGGCAGCTTTGCGTGTTCGCGAGGGGCGAGGGGGGTTCACCGTCACCTGACGTGTCGCTGAAAACCTTTTAGCAAGGTGTCGTCCTCGAAATGAGTGAGACAATTTTGCCTCGCTCAATCAGAGCGAAAAGGCTCCCTATTAGAGCACCGAATAATTTTCACTCTGGAGGAGTAAGAATTCCCTGACCTCGCCCAATTGCTGTGACGAACCTCTCATTGGGTGAAGTCCGCAAATTGTGAATCAAATTGAGTGAGAGTCAGATATTTCACTCTCAGGAGAGTAAGATTTTTGTGTCACTGATCTCGCTTTCCTAGGAGTAAGATATCTGACTCAAGTCATTTTGAGTGGTATTATTGTGCTGCCTGCTTGGTCGCCCCCCAGCCTGCGGCGGCATGGACAACATGTGCACCGTGTACGACGTGAACAACCGGGACTCGACGGGCGCGGCCAAGATCACCCGCGAGCTGCTGGGCTACGAAGGGTTCCTGTCGTCGTGTCGCTTCCTCGACGACAACACCCTCATCACCGGCTCCGGCGATCAGAAGATGTGAGCGCGCCGCTCCAGCTATGCGGTAACTGCGCCGTACACCCAGAAAAATCCTCTCTTGGTTCAAGTAGGCTATGCTTGTACTCGGGTTTGCACAAGTACAACTTTTCACTTCGAACAATGCAAAAACGTTATTAAAATTAGAACGCTTTACTTTTTAAACATCTTGTTCTCGTACAATGTTTTTATTCGAAGAAGAGTGATCTTATTTCAATGGTATTTTTGAATTTTTAAAAGAGAAAAAATGATCTTGTGCAAACCCGAGTACAAATATACTTGAATCAAGTAATGATTATTCTGGATGTACTGTTTCTCTCTTTTGGGACGCGCCCCTATCGTGCTGTCGTGTGCCGCAGCACCCACTGGGACCTGGAGAAGAACGTGAAGAAGCAGGAGTTCACCGGCCACAACGGGGACGTGGTGACCATGTCGCTGTCGCCGGACAACAACACGTACGTGACGGGCAGCGTGGACCAGAGCTGCAAGCTGTGGGACGCGCGCAGCCCGGACTGCAAGCAGGTCTTCTTCGGCCACACCGCCGACGTCAACTCGGTCTGCGTAAGTGTCAACGAGAAATGAATTTATTTTTACCGTTTTCGTGTAAAATGCGTACTTACCACGAGTTTTTTTTTTTTTGTTTTTTTTTTTTGTTTTTTTTTACGGCCGTGCAGTTTCACCCGAGCGGCCAGGCGTTCGGCACGGGCTCGGAGGACAAGTCCTCCCGCCTCTACGACCTGCGGTCCGACCAGCAGCTGGCGCAGTTCGCTCCCCCAAGTGGCCAGCCCGGCTTCACGTCCTGCGCGCTGTCCAGCTCGGGCAGGTTCATCATGTGCGGCGCCGACGACAACAACATCCACATCTGGGACACGCTCAAGGTGCAGCACAATGGTGAGTGCCAAAGCCAATAGTAATGCAGAGAAGTAATGCGGAGTAGTAGTGCAGAGAAGTAATGCGGAGTAGTAATGCAGAGAAGTAATCCGGAGTAGTAATACAGAGAAGTAATGCGGAGTAGTAATGCAGAGTCCTGACCGAGGAAACCTTATCGGTTAATGATGCTGTAACGAGTTATCGATCGTCGCGATATCACGCCGGAAAATTATTTCTTGACATCCTTGACCTCACATTAATTAACGTCGACGCGCGACGTCCTCCCGACACCCATTTTGGCGTTCACCTTTTTGCGCAGGAATCCTATCCAGCCACGAGAACCGCGTCACGTCCATCTCCATGTCGACCAACGGCATGGCGCTGTGCAGCGCCTCTTGGGACCAGAACGTGCGCGTCTGGGGCTGAAGCTCCGGCGCGGCAAAGCAGGCGCCCCGATCTCTGCTCGACTCTTCTCGTCTCTATTCTATTCGAATCTCTCGCTGTCGCGTGTTGTTTACGTGTACGTGTAGACGAAATGGGAAACAAGTATTACGCAGTAAATATACCAATGCTGTATCGACTTTCGAACGCGTGCATTTTTCACCACGCCTGTCCTTTTTTTCCTGTACCTTGAACTGTATGAGAAATCTAGTCCCGACCGCTCTACACCGCCGCATCGTTTGCTCTGGGTGGCGCCAGAAACACTCCGCGGCCGCGGATACCCCGCGCGCATCGCGAGAGCTTTGGCCCGCGCTCGCCAGAGGGAGGCTCCGGACCGCGGTGGACGGCGAGGTAACACGTCAAGTACGGTTAAAGACCAGTCGTGTCATCCAACAGTAGTACGCTCTGAATGATGAGGCCACTGTGCTTGCAATAGTACAGGCAGTCCCGTTTGCCTGCCTGGCAATTTTTGACGTTTGTTTCACAGACCGCCAACTTTTAGCCTCCAGTTAGCCTGAGTGGCAAAATTTGTCCTGCACTGAAAGTATGCCGGCAATTTTTTCAAACGAAGGGGCCACTGCGTCTATAATGTAAGATTAATTACATGTGCACGTGGGCCACCACCAGCTCTGGAAATGGGCAGGACTAATCAGCCACTACGGTACGGTCATTTTTGTAAGGCGTGAGGCATATTATTTGTATTGAGAAGGTCCGAAAGAACATAGCAGAACGCAACACATGTATTTAACTGCGTTTCGGAAATTTCCAGTTTTTTATTATTTTTTAAAGTTGTTTTTGCAGATGATACCGTGAAAACTAAGATTGAAGGCTTGAACAGTGGCATTGCTCTTAATATTTTTCTGTATGTACCATCAACATTTAACAGAGACGGAAACGCATTATTCAGCATGCATTCTTATGGTATGGGGGCATACCGTCCCTGCTTTCCCTGCGCACTGTGAAAATCTCCAAAAAACAAAATATCGTAAAGCCAAATCCTTCGTAGGTACGAAGGATTTTGCATTTTGCTTCCTTAAGGTTTTAACTGTGCGCCCTAACACATTCCGAAATCACCGTGTTGTTTGCAGTGTTTGCGTGTTTGCGGGGTGGTTAACCCTTTAACGTCTTCCGTCTCCCCCCGCCTCCCCTCCCTTCCCGTGGCTTTCGCCCGCGGCGGAGTCATGTTAATTGGCGTGACATGTCGGTGGGGCGGAGCGAGGAGGCGACACCAGATAGAAAGGCGACGAATTCTCTTTGCATCATTTGTAATTTTGTGGTAAACTTGTATCGGCGCAGCAAACAAACAACTACTGAACATGTTATGGCGAGCGGTATTGTTTCAAAATTTCAGCTATAATTCGTTTTATCGGTTCAAACTGTTTCAGACAAAGTCAATTAAGGGATCATCCAGAAATCACGCCCGTCGTGCTCCATTACGAAACAGCAGGGGTCAGCCAGTTCAGTTTTTAAAATGGTTTTATTGAAGTCAAATTAAGTTACATTTTACACAGGTTGCCCGTAGGCCTTGCAGTATTTACTTATATTAATTAACGGGTGAAATGAAAAGGTATTTGGTGGAGCGTTGATCAAGGGGTGATTGGATGGTGTGAGGGTTGATGCTTTGATTTTAGGGTCCTCTAGCTCACCAAGGCTAGGGGGAGAAAGGAGTCAGGCGATGTAAGGTCTCATAGCGCCTGATAGGTAGGCAACATCTCGCCTTCAGTGCACACGCGTACTGCGGGTTGGCCTACCCCGCGTTTCGCAGGCGCCGAGCTCCTGCAATTTGTCGAATGAATCTAAAGAAAACGGACGTACTAATTTTTGCATAATTCTGACTTATCCAAACCAAATCAAACAAACTTAAACCACTTGACGACAATTCATACACTAATTGGAAAACTGATTATCCAAATTTTAAATTGCAGTAATAGATTGTAATATTACAGTGCATGCAATGTACATTCTTCTGCAATTGGCTATGTATTTTTGTTCGTTTGTAAGAAGCTTGACTTGTTTATCCAAAAATGTTTTCCATTTTGTTTATCAGAATTTTCCACACGTTTGTGTTACGTTCATGAACGTAACACAATATGCAATCGGATCAAACCAAATTTGCTGCAGAAAGTGTCTTGTTATTGTAAAACTTTCCTGATTGGTGTGGAACAGTTATTGGGCGCTAGCTCAACGCCACGTTTCAGTTATCCCTCACTCACTTTCCCTTTGCAATGCTGCTGCAGTGTAAACACAGCTGAAGGGCAGCAACCTCGTTATTTCGGGCCGGCTCCAGGTCGTTGGACCCGCTGGGCGTGGCGCCGCCGCACCCCCTCTGAAACACAGCCTTGACCCTTGGCTTTAGGGCTGCTGCTGCTGGCGGTCCTGTTTAAAGATGCTAATACTTCAACAGTCGCCGTCGTCTGCGCGAAACCGGAACCGGTAAACGGTGTGTGTATGCGTGTGCTTTCTTTCAAACCTAAGCAATAAGCACGCGTTGGGTGAGTGAGCAGTCGAGGGGGCGGGGCAGTGGGTGCTCCTAAAGGGGGG